AAAAAAGGTAAGGTGAGAGGGTGTAAATGATTTAGATAAAAAAAAATTGGGAATAAAATTTGGGGGAGGAGGAGTATGGAAGAATGAATGTTTTCAATACTTGGGAGTTTGACATGTCGGGGAGGGATTATAAAGGGGATGAGGTTAATCATAGAATTGATGAGGAAAAAAGGTGAGTGGTGGTTGAGGTATATGGGAGTCAAGAAACGTTATCTATGGAGGCATAGAAGGAATGTATGAAAGAAATAGAAAGTACCAACACTCTTATATGGGTGTGAAGTTGGGGTGGTAAATGCAGCAGCGAGGAGACGGTTGGAGGCAGTGAAAATGTCCTGTTTAATGCAATGTGTGGTGTAAATATTATGCAGAAAATTCGGAGTGGGAAATTAGAAAAGGTGTGGAGTTAATAAAAGTATTAGTCAGAGGGCAGAAGGGGGGTGTTGAGGTGGTTTGGTCATTTAGGGGAAATGGATCAAAGTAGAATGACATGGAAAGCATATAAATCTATAGGGGAAGGAAGGCGGGGTAGGGTCGTCCTCGAAAGGGTTGGAGGGGGTAAAGGAGGTTTTGTGGACAAGGGGCTTGGACTTCCAGCAAGCGTGCGTGAGCGTGTTAGGAGTGAATGGAGACGAATGGTACTTGGGACCTGATGATCTGTTGGAGTGTGAGCAGGGTAATATTTAGTGAAGGGATTCAGGGAAACCGGTTATTTTCATATAGTCGGACTTGAATCCTGGAAATGGGAAGTACAATGCCTGCACTTTAAAGGAGGGGTTTGGGATACTGGCAGTTTGGAGGGATATGTTGTGTATCTTTATATGTGTATGCTTCTAAACTGTTGTATTCTTAGCACCTCTGCATTATTATTATAATCAAGGGGGAAGCGCTAAACCCGGAGGATTATACAGCGCCTGGGGGGGATGTGGAAGGCATTCAGGCTTAATTCGGGGAACTGGAGCACAGATCCAATTCCCTAAATCAAGAGCCCCTCACCAACATCAAGGAACCTTCCTTGAGGGGAGCACCTCTGCAAAAACAGTGATAATGTGCGAGTGTGGTGAAAGTGTTGGATGATGATGAAAGTATTTTCTTTTTGGGGATTTTCTTTCTTTTTTTTGGGTCACCCTGCCTCGGTGGGAGACGGCCGACTTTTTTGAAAAATATATAATATATATATATATTATATATATATATATATAATATATATATATATATATATATATATATATATATTATATATATATACAGTGGACCCCCGGTTAACGATATTTTTTCACTCCAGAAGTATGTTCAGGTGCCAGTACTGACCGAATTTGTTCCCATAAGAAATATTGTGAAGTAGATTAGTCCATTTCAGACCCCCAAACATACACGTACAAACGCACTTACATAAATAAAACTTACATAATTGGTCGCATTCGGAGTAATCGTTATGCGGGGGTCCACTGTATATATATATATATATATATATAATATATATATATATATAATATAAAATATATATATATATATATAATATATAGAGAGAGAGAGAGAGAGAGAGAGAGAGAGAGAGAGAGAGAGAGAGAGAGAGACCGAGACCGAGACCGAGACCTTCACCATTATTTACTCAGCTCACTACAAAGAAATGCGCATTCATGACGATTCCAGTGACAATATAAATTGCAAAATCCCTTCTGGGAACATCCTTGACATTTTCCATCCACCCCTGATTAATACGCTCTTTCTCAACCATTTTTGTTAAATATTTTATAAATGACCAAACTGTGTACAACACAGTCACACGTGCAAAAAAAAAAAGACAGACAATTACTTCAACACTATAAAGCATTTAATTTCTGAAGATAAATTTAACACGTTTTTAATGTAATAATATAAAAATTAATAAATATTCAATTAATTTTTATTAAGAACATAAGAATGGTGAAGCTATGTATAAAAGTACTTTTTCTTGATAGTTCTCTCAAGAGTAAATTGTCTCACCTTAGAGAGAATGTCTGAGCCAACAGGTGGAGCAAGAGGCTCCAGTTTGTTAGGTCGCTGCAACAAGTGCTCAACTGAGTCTTCATTGATGGAGTCGGAGGGAGTGAGAGTAACCAGATCTTCCTGCGTGCTCTCTGTATCCAGGAGATCTGCTGGTCCAAGAAAATATTGAATACATTGATACGGAAGAGGAAAAAGGGGGGGGGGGGAAGAGGAAGATGTAGGAAGCAAAATAATGTATATTGTTTAAGAATCAGTCTGCCTTGGTATTCAGAGGTGAGAACCTAACTTTCAATAGCGTGTGCAGTTACGTGACTAAAGTAAGGGTGGTCGCCATGCTGGCTGTCAAACACCTTCGTGTGTTAGTGTGATTGGTAATTGGTCCAAGTTGGACCTAAACGTTGTCATAAGCTCTCCTATGTGCGGGTTATTTGTGTATTTTTTACACCTTCATTCATTTGCCAGGGTGTTTGATAAAGTTATAAACTCAAAACTTGTAAAAATTTTATGTCATTAGTATATATGCAAATGTAATATATTGTTTTTTTCCTTCACTTTTCTAATATCAGTGTAGATAAAGTGTTTTCACTGATGAACTGAAGTCCACTCTAAATTGAGGAATAGCTTTACGTGTTTCATCAGTCGAAGCAAGGAGTATCATTCTTGAATTTTATACTCACTGAAGATATGCTTAAAAACGTTATTGCTAAAGGAAGTAGTCAGAATGAAGGAGTAAATACAAATGATAATAAAGAAATAGTCACACCTGAACCATGAGAAAAGTGAGTCACCCAGAATATCATAGTATTATGCTGTATAACCTTTTGTAATTAACTTAACAGTGAAATTATTTCTGATAAGCCTACTGGCTATACATTGCGGCCACAAAATGCAACCCTAGCCTATGTTCCCGTTTTGCTTCATATTTTGTGTTACTTGAAAGTATACTATATTTTCATATTTTTATATTTCTGTGATTGTAATATGCTGGACCTTATTATATTTTGCTCATGGCATATGATAATTTATGTGTTCTCAAATAATTTACATTTGCTTTATATCTTGTGATAAATTTAGAAAATACTGTAATTGCTGTTATGTATAGTTTCAACATTTTTGTGTGAAAATTTGTACGCTTGTATACATCATTTCTGAAGAGTTTGTGGTAAAAATCTCAGTCCTTTGTGGGAAGTTCCCGAGACCGCAGTAGCAACATTGATACCTACTTGTTGCTAGGTGGACACGACGGAAGCTGGGCCGCCCTTCGGTTTTGAGCTGAAGGCGGTACCACTGAGCCACAAGCAACATGACACCGGGTGAATATTGACTTGTAATAGTTGCCCTTCCGGAAAGTCAGAAAATTCAAAATGTGTAAACCAGACGCCATTTAGCGTCCAGGTAGAAGCAGTATGGCTAATCACGACCTCTGGATTAAGTACAAAATCTTCGTCTCAGTGTTTGTATGCCAAACCCAATAATTATAACTATAATTTTAAAAGAGGTGGACCGGTAAGCCAGCGAAAGGTCTCGGTCAGATGACCAAAAGCTCCAGCTGCAGGTCATCATATGACTAAGACTTGCACCAGGAAGCACTTGTCCTGTTTCCTGAACTACCTAACCTTTGTGTGCCAGCGAGGTGCGGTGATAAAACTCACATGACGTCTTTTACACCATGCTACGGTAACCAGCGTGTTTGGCAAGAATAAAAGATTAAGTAGATCAGGAGTACATGAAAGATAAAATATAAAAATAAAGATTAACAGTAAGAAATACATTAATATGAGGGAAAGTAAAGAGTGAGGGCGTAGGGAGTTAGCAGGTTTATGTGTGTGTGTCAGTCATCATCTCGGATTTTATGGATAAATTTATAATAAACCTGACTTAGTCATATAATAAAACAAGCGATGGTTTATAATGACTTCTCGCAAATATTTAGTTATATCTCAAAGCGCTACGTTATTATTTATTAGAATAATAAGGAAGAAATAAAGCTAAACACAGCTCACCTTTCTTGAGTTTTTCTGTTGATGCATCTGAGCCGTGTTCGCTGGCTTCATCTTCAGCTGGTTCTGGGGAGGGCGGAGTGTCCTTCACTGAGATCTTGTGACACACCTCAAACGCCTGACCCACTGTTCTAACTATCCTCATTGCCTGACTCTGTGGAGCAAGACATTTAACATTAGTTCTAAACTGTTTTTCCACCTACTGTGAGTGATGGCTGCACCTGCGTTGGCGAAGATGAACTTTATCACAGAAAGACTGAGGCTTGCCAAGACTTGAGCTCTCACCGTCGCAGTGCACCAAACTACATGCTGCCGACAAGAAGGCAACTCCTGTTTCCTGCTGTATACAATGACCTCATTAAGAATTAACTTACCTTCTGAACACGCGGTAGGTAAACCGTCATCATATACTTACCTCCAGGTCGATGTCTTCCAGACTAACAGTAGCGGCCTTATCACTGTGATAATTGCGAGGGCGGCCGTTCACCACCCCTCGCTCCGTCAGGAAAGTCACTACTTGTTGTACTGGCGACGACCTTTGCTTTCTTAACGAACTGTTTCTCGAGGCAGGTTTGGTCGGCTTAGAGTGACCCGTTGCCTTACAGCCACTAGGAGGGAGGGACTTCCCAGAAGGTGTGGGTGTCTGCGATGGCCCACCTTTATTATGATGTATGGGCGACTGTGGGACGGATGATCTTGCACTTGATAGTGGACTGGTAACACACTTTGTAGTGGGAGTCTGGGGTTGCTGACTGGCAGACATCTTGAGTGATGGCGCAGGTGATTGACTGGCAACACCTTTTGATGAGGATGCTGTCACCTGAGATGATCCTGCCTTTCCTGAGGGTGTGGAGGTCTGTGTGGGCACTGTCTTACTGGTGGGTGCTGACGGCTGGCTGCTCTGCCACGCCCGTACCGGGGGTGTGGCGAGCTGGCTAGAGGCACTGTGGGTGGGGCTTGTGGGTGGGGTTAATATGGGTGTTGCGGGCCCGGCCAAAATGCCTGGTGCAGAGGTGGGGCCAAGGAGACCTGGGTTGCCCATCATAGTAGTTACACCAGACACTGTTCCAGGCGAGGTAACACACTGAGTGCCCGCTCCTGTTAGATTGGCTACACCCGGGACGCCGCCCAAGGCACTGAAACCACCCAAACCCACGATGCCAGCTATGCTGTGAGGGCGGCCAAGTGTGTGTCTAGACTGGTGGTGATGGTTCTGAGCGTGGTTGAGGAGGACCGAGTGTAGAGCCACACCCTGGTGTCTGTGAGAGAGGGTAGCTGAGTGACTACTGTTCCTGGATGGAACCACCACTTCGGGTTCCCGGAAAGAAAGTTTCTTGCGTGGACGGTCGTCTGGGACGCACATTGCGCCGTCTGCCCCCCCGTGCTGCTTCAGCATGGCGGCGGGGGGCAAACTGAGGACAAGGGACGGGCAGTGGCGTCCTTTGGCTGCTGATAGGCATGGGCCTCTCCGTCATGGGGCACAGGGGGTTGTACCTACACCCTACCACGGCCAGATGGCCTCCTCCACCATCACCCACAGCCTCTGGTTGATACTCGAGCAGTCCGTCTTGGCTATAACAACACTCGTCACCAACACACCAATTTGCTTTACTTAAGATGCACAAATATCACTCGCTGTTTCAACACGGACACATCACATTTTTTTTTTTTTCGAAAAATAATTTCATGTCTAACAAAGTTTAAGACTTCTGAAAAATTCACCTTAAATAAAATACACGTTACACAAAAATAAAAATCCTTTCAAAATTCAGGAGCAATTATAAAGTAGCCAAGATACAAAGGTACACTGCTTATAGTAATGGAGAAGAGTCATAAGTAAAAAGCTGCACACAGAGCTTTATACTTATAACAGAGCCACAGGTGCATCTTATGCACCTGTGGCTCGTCTGTGTAAAATAATTAGTCATGGGCAGTGATGGGCTGAATAACCAGGCCTCACTCACCACAGTCAGGGCAGTAATGTGCTGACTAATCAGACTTCACCAGTCAGGGGCGGTGAAGGGCCGACTGACCACTGTTGAAAGCCAGAACTCGCACATCACAGTCAGAGATTAGTGGTGAAACAGCTGGCCAAACAGGCACCCACCAGTCATCAGCAGAGTAGTGCGCCAACTGATCACTGCTGACAGCCAGAACTCACTCACTCAATTAACGTTAATTATAAATCGCGGAAAATGTGCAAATACGGACGGTTGACTTTGAATTCACAGGTTTAATACAGCAATATATTGTGTTTATCAGTTACTACTGACCATTTCTTACAGTCACACACAAAAAAAAAATTATACACACGGAAATTAGGAAAAGTGCAAAGGTTTGCGACAAGACTAGTTCGGGAGCTAAGGGGCATGTCCTACGAGGAGAGGTTAAGGGAAATCGACCTGACGACACTGAAGAACAGGAGAGATAGGGAGGATATGGTAACGACATATAAAATACTGAGGAATTGACAAGGTGGACAGAGACAGGATGTTCCAGAGATGGGACACAGCAACAAGGGGTCACAATTGGAAGTTGAAGACTCAAATGAATCACAGGGATGTTAGGAAGTATTTCTTCAGTCAAAGAGTTGTTAGAAAGTGGAATAGTCTGGGAAGTCATGTAGTGGAGGCAGGATCCATACATAGCTTTAAGAAGAGGTATAATAAAGCTCATGGAGCAGACAGAGCGACCTAGTAGTGACCAGTGAAGAGGCGGGGCCAAGAGCTGGTCGACCTGCAACCAGAACTAGGCAAGTACAACTAGGTGAGTATACACACACATACAACATTATATATATATATATATAATATATATATATATATATATATATATATATATATATATATATATATATATATATATATATATATATATATATATTGGAGTCCCAAAAGTCTAGAAAATATGGAGAACTTGCCCATCATTATATGTTTGTTCCCATAGGCTCAGAGACCCTTGGCTCATGGGGAAAGAGTGCATCTAAATTCCTTAAGGAGCTGGGAAAAAGACTCATCAGGGTAACTAGGGATCCCAGGGCAGCTAGTTTTCTGTTCCAGCGGCTCAGTGCGGCTGTTCAAAGGGGTAATGCCTGCTGTATTTTGGGCACACGCCCCAGCTCTGAGGAGCTGGATGAGATTTTCGCCTTATAATCGGTGATACACACGTAACAACATGTACCGTATATGCCACCTTTATATCAACAATGTATCTCTTAAATCTTCTGTACCATATTATGTAATATATATATATATATATATATATATATATATATATATATATATATATATATATTATATATATATATATATATATATTATTATATATATATATATTATTATATATATATAATATATATATATTATATATATTATATTATATATATATATTACAAAAATTTTCAAAATTAACAATTTACAAATTTTTTTCATTATATATATATAATATATATATATATATATATATATATATATATATATATATATATATATATATATATATATATATATATATATTCGTGCCGAATAAGCAGAACTTGCGATCTTGGCTTAAATAGCAACGCTCATCTTGCCATATAGGACAAGTGAAAATTTGTGTATGCAATAATTTCGCCAAAATCATTCTGAACCTAACGAAAAAAAATATATTTCACTGGGTTTGTTTAGTATTAAATTATTGTAAACAAATCTAAAATATATTTAGTTGGGTTAGGCTAAAATAAATTGTTCTTGTTATAATAAGGTTAGGTAAGTTTTCTAAGATTCTTTTGGTGCAAAATTACAATTTTTTTACATTAACATTAATGAAAAAATATATCTTTAAACGTATAAGAGAAAATTTCAGAAAGGACTTAATTTTAAATGAGTTCTTGTTAATTGACCAGTTTTATATATTCGGCACGACATAATATATTATATATATATATATATATATATATATAATATATATATATATATATATATATATACATATATATATATACACACACACACACACACACACACACACACACACACACACACACACACACACACACACACACACACACACACACACACACTTAACAATTTGCAAACAGGCGAGATTATTTACAAACACTGTCTCTACGCCCACAGCAGAACTCGAACCTGCAAATTTTGTATCAGAGTCCACAGTACTGTACCACAGAGCCAGACCCCAGATAAGTATGGGCGCCTTGCCGAAGCTAGACGATGTTTCCTCATACCCCGGGGCACCAGGCTTGTTTTCAAAGTTATTTCATCAAATCCTGCCACATGCAGTGGACAACGAAAGAGATTTGAAATGCTTAACAACTCGCAAACAGGCGAAATCATTTACAAACATTGTCTCTACGTCCATAGCAGGACTCGAACCTGCAAACTGTTAAGCATTTCAAATTTTTTTCGTTGTCCACTGCATGTGTCAGGATTTGATGAAATAACTTTGAAAACAAGCCTGGTGCCCCGGGGTATGGGAAAACATCGTCTAGCTTCGGCAAGGCGCCCATACTTATCTGGGGTCTGGCTCTGTGGTAAAATACTGTGGACTTCGATACAGAGTTTGCAGGTTCGAGTCCTGCTGTGGATGTAGAGACAAAATAATATATATATATATATATATATATATATATATATATATATATATATATATATATATATATATATATATATATATTATATTGTGTGTGTGTGTGTGTGTGTGTGTGTGTGTGTGTGTGTGTGTGTGTGTGTGTGTGTGTGTGTGTGTGTGTGTGTGTGTGTGTGTGTAAAACGACTACAGGGGAGTTGAAGGATAGCCCTAGGTCTTTCGTGCTGCAATCACCATATCATCAGGAGATTGCAGCGTTGCAGGAAAAAAGGAGGAAGTCCAAGCAAATACGTTCAGAGGAAGCGTGTTTGTTCAAACAAACACGCTTCCTCTGAACGTATTTACTTGGAATTCCTCTTTTTTCCCTGGAACATTGCAAGCTCCTGATGTGTTGATTGCAGCATGAAAGGCCTAGAGCTATCATTCAACTCCCCCTTCGGTTGTTTTGCATTCTGTATCGCTGGAGCAGGCCCCATCCTTCCTAGGATATAAATTTTACAAGTACATAAATGGCAGAATAACGTCTTGGTATGTGATATCACGTACTCCGGTCTTGTTATCCCCTGTATGCGTTGAGAATGGCTTGCTCTTCCCACCTGTGACAAGAGACAATCACTCAGCTACCCTGGCAACAAAGACAAAAATACCAACCAATATACAAACACCCAAGGAATAATTATGTAACAAAAATATCAATTAAAAGCACGAACGAATTTGTTTTGTTATAAACCCAATACCAATTCGCGCTACCGGAACAAAGGTGCCCAGACATTACAGAGATATGGAAGCCACGATATAAGGAGGGAAAAATAATCGCAGGGAAAACCATATCCAGCATTTGATCCAAGCCAAAAGTTCACTTCACAGAGGAGGCAGTGTGAGTGGCAGCAGTGTGAGTGGCGGCACTGTGAGTGGCGGCAGCATCAACAACACAAACCTATGTACTGCACAAAGTCTTTCCAAGTCTGAGGCTGTAAGTCACACTGTGCCCCATGAGTTGGAATATGAACCACAGCAAGTTTAAACGTAAACAAAAAAAAAATCTCCGCAAATCAGACAGAAAAAAAATCGCAGCCGAATGGTTATTAAATCAGGCAAAGTGGTACAAACCTCACCATCACGGTAAGGCGACCCAGCGTTGGGACCGTGTAAAAGAAGAACGCTGTAGGCTAATTGCTCAGTTATCTTAATCAATGTGAGTGACAAGGAAGGGGAGACAAGAGGCGGTCACTGAGCACGGAGTAACTTACATGAGGCCGCAAGACTTAAGATAAACAACGCATCTGGCATGTAAAAATATACAAGAAATCAGAGCGGAGACACTTGTGTGTTGTGGCCCGCTGCTCCCGAGAGAGAGAGAGAGAGAGAGAGAGAGAGAGAGAGAGAGAGAGAGAGAGAGAGAGAGAGAGAGAGAGATCAGAAGTCGTAAATGCCCCCGTCTTATCTAGGACTTCCGTGCATGTCGACTTCTCTCACACTTAGACGCAGCCTGGACGACTTTAAAAGAGTCTACGATACTGGAGATATGTGGGTGCAGCTATAAGACAACTTCAACGCCACAAGACGGGCAGCAAACAACTACTACTCTGGCTGTACCCTTCGCAAAAACATTACTTCATCTGAGATCATTCATTCCAAGAACGAAACAAGTACGCACAACACACGAACATTAATGATATAAAATCGACTGACTCAGTGAAATCTCTGGTCCACAGCTGGCTCCACCCTCATCCTGTTACCTATTTGTAGGTTTCATAATAAATATTCAGGAAGGATAATGGTAGGAGAAGCTTTTCAATGAGCTGAGGTAGGTAACAGCTGTTGGTTTGTAAATAAAGTTAAGAACTCAGACAATCCCTATAAGAACCCTTAAGTGTTAGGGATAGAGAGAGAAACAGAGAAGAAAATCGAGTTTACAACTCTCAGAGAGCCGTAAAATATATAAGCTAAAGATAAGAGATAAGCAAGTTAAAGATAAGGCATATACAAAACATAGAAAAGAAATTAACAAGACATGAATAAGAAATAAATAAGACACAGATAAGAAATATATAATTAGAATGTAGCGTGGGAAAAGGGAGGAAGGATAAAGTATATAGAGAGAGCAGCTAAATCTAACAGACTTGGCAAATGTA